CAAGCACTGATGTTACTGCTATTATTAAAAGGTATGTGTGATTATATTAATATATTTATTTCTTTTTCCAAAGGTTGAACGATCTGACGATCTGACAGTGTACAATCCATTGTTTTGCTGAATTATTTATCACCATTACAAATAAAAAATATTGCTAAGAATCTATTTATTTTATTGTAAAGCAAGTTTTAATAATGATCGGCATATTATAAATTATCCAATCAATTTCTTTATAGATTGACCAATCACAGACAAAGCCTGTTATGTTATCTCTGACTACATTTTGGAAATTCCTAAATTATTGTCTTCAATGATTTATTGACAGTTATTTGATGATATATTTATAATCATCAAACTTATTCACAATGTGAAATGTTGTTTCAAGATCAAAAAGAAAAAATGAAGCTGGACATAAAGAAGCACTTGGATAAATGTTATTTATTTTATTTAAAAAAAAAGAATGGTGGTGGTGATTGCAATCATTGCAGCTTGTCATCACTCTAGTTAGTTATTAAAAAAACAATGATGATCATTGTGACTGGCTGTCATTCTAGTTAAATTAAAATTTTCTTTTATTTATTCTTTAGTAGGAACATTTTCCTCTTCAGCTGTGAGTAAATTACATTCTTTTCAAATAACAAAACTGGTTTTCAACTTGGATTTCTAATAAAATATTTTAATATCATATAAAATGGATTAAAAATTCTCAGCTTTTGAAAATTTGAAGATCAAAGTATTTATTTACATTGTAAAAGAATTAGCAAAGAATATAGATACTAACAATTTAAATGGAGAATATGAAAGATTAGATATTCTTAAAAAATCAATAAATGACTTATATAGTGAATCTATTGAAATTTGGAATGAAAAATACAATGCCTTAGAGAGGTTAATGAAAATGCAAGCCATTAATGATATTTCTGCTTCATTTGTATTAGTTTTTGTCAACTCAATACATTTTTATTTTTTAAAAGTCTGGAAGTGTTGAAAATCCCATTGATAGACCTATTATTAGAGATCCTATCAATGAACCTATTATTCCTCCAGGTATGTAATTAATATTAGACCAAAACCCTTATTCTTTTTAATACCATATATATTTTCTCTATTATCAATAATAAAATAACCATAATATTTGATCATAATAAAGGAGGAAATGGTCTTGGAAGCAGCAGAGCAAAAATCGTCATAGAATCATTCATAACAATAATATCAAAGGATAACTAAATCAGGTATCAGAAGGATTGCTCACAGAAGGAGTGAAACAGCTTGCTATGATGATATTCGTGATGTGTTGAAATTATTTCTTAAAGATGTAATAATGACAATTATGATGACAAATTATGGGCATTAATAATAACGATTTTTAATATATGAATTCTTTTTTTCTTTAGAATGCAAAACGTAAGACAGTAAAGTATACGGGATGTTGGTAAGTTAGTTCACAGTATATTATTATGGTATGTAATATATATTGTATATTCCTTTAAATTAATATATGAATGAAACTTCTTTCGTTATATTAACCTATTTATTACTATACTCCATAACAGTTCATGCACTCAAAGACGAGGAAAACTTTTTTATGGATTTGGTAAATAAATTATATGCCAAAATTTTTTTTAATGATTTGTTAGTATATATTATTTTATGGTTGATAGTTTGTTGTATTAATGAATTAATTATACAAGCAAGTTTTTCAACTTTCTGCAAATTGTTTTTATATAAAAAAGTATTGTGAGGAGACAAAATGCGAATTAATTAATTTTATATTTTCTGACTGATATAAGCTAAGATAAATTGTAAAATGTGAACAAATTCCACGATATTAATATATAATATAAATTTAATAGGTACAGCGTTGATTTAGATCATGATAATTTATTTAAAGAAAGCTAAATAGATTATTGACAGTCCCACGTTGAAAGATAGTTTCTCTCTATAAGTGATCGGTTTATAGTAAATGGCTATGTATTATTATATTGTTTTTGTATTAAATTATTATTTTATTGCTATATCTAAGAGCACTGAAAAGACATTCTTTAAATACAACCGATTCTCAATTTAATTAACATCCCATGTATATTGTACAAAAAACTCTGCCTGAAACTCTTGGTAGTGTTGTGCGTGGAAATGAATTTGAATTTCACATATTTAAAATTAGCCAATCGGAATTTTCATATCCAAACACCCCACCCCAAAATTTTAATTATAGATTTCAATTTAATTTCACATACAACAGTAGTACCAATATCAAAATCTTTGAGGTTATTACCAATATATATTTGTGCTCATCATTGAAAGCTGTTTGATTCCATAGTGATAATACATATAATATATGAAGATATAAAGTTACCAAAGGAAAAGCCATAAAGCAGTAAAAAATATTCTGGTACCATTTAAAATACAACTGACATAATAATTAAATTGGAAGATGAAAACTTGAACCTTTAATTTTTTTTTTCTAATAAAATGTTGAAAAATATTTAAAAAATCTGGACAAAAATAAAATGGGATATGGATTTTTGACAAGAGGTTGTGAAATGAATTGTCTGTTGAGCAGAACAAGAAATCAATGAAATAATGTTGATATTATTCCAAACCAAACCAAACACCCCCAGTAAAGGAGTTGTTGATCAATAATTGTGCTTAAAGAATTTCAAGACTTTGACAATCTGGCCCACATAATTTGCCGGAAAAGGTCAAATAATTAATGCTATATCTAATAAAATAGATGCATTATTTGCAGTTAGGAGTTATTGCAGCTAACAATAATAATTGACATAATAATAATATTATTTTCTTATTGATTTTCTGAAAACAATGAAATGAAAATACATGAAATAATAAATTATTTGGTAGTGTTCTTCCTGGACTAGAAAAATATAAAATTTGTATATACAATACAGTATATACATATGAATTTATATAAAAAGATATCTATTACATCAGATGAATTTGTTATAAGAAATATATGGAAAGTAAAAAAATATCATATTCCTATTAATTAACATGTCATCAAAAAGATATAAATAAGAATAGAATTTATTTATGGAATTAAAATAGGAATCAGATGGAAGTTAAAACTAACCCAATTCATCATCATTTTCAGCTCTGTTGATGATTCAATCAATTACTTTAACTACCAAATATTATAAAATAAAAATCATAATCTTTTTATTTTATTTTCCAATTGAAAAAAATTATCACACCGCCCTCACCTGGATTCGAACCAGGATCCTTTCGGTTAACAGCCGAACGCGCTAGCCGGTTGCGCCATGAAGGCAGGTATTATAATTAACCGTTGATTTATTACTATTTAAATTTGTATCGAAAATTTACAAAAAATAATAGGGCATTTTAAATACTATCAATGTGATAAATAAGCAAAAAAATTATCTAATTTACAAAAATGAGATACTTTAATAAAAAAATTACATTATAAAACAAAATTCATAAATACAATATAAATAAATAAAATAAATAAACAAAATAAATAAATAAATAAATAAATAAATAAATAAATATTTCTAAAAAAATTAGCTACAACATTCATTTTTCACCCCAATAAAGGTCAATATTTTCATCTTGTAATTTTTCAATTGCTCTTTCATGTCCTTGTATAGCAGCCAATCTCAAATATTCTAATCCTTTATGCTTATTTGCCTCTTTTACCACCTTTCCTTTATAATACATTTCCCCAAGATTATATAAAGCAGTCACGTTTCCATTGTTGGAAGCCATTGTCATATATTTGATAATTTCATCAATTTCATCATCCTCAAACTTGCTGTCTGGTTTTTTGCCTAATATACAAAATGCATACCTTACTTGTGCATCAGCTATACCGCTATCAGCTGCCTCTTTAAACAATTGTGCAGCTTGTTGTATATCCTTCTTTACATGATACCCCTCAAATAAATAATAACCTTTCCAATATTTTGCCTTCATGTTTCCATCAGCTGAAAGATCACAGAAACATTTCCATGCCGTTGCTCTATTTTTTGCTTTATGAGCTTTGATACCTTCTTCTAATGGCATTGGTGCTTTAATAACATCATCCAATGAAAAGTCAACAAAATTAGGCAACAATGATGGATCATCATCATTATCATTGCCACCATTAACAATGTTGTTAGCTTTATTATTATTGTTAATGGAAATTGATGCTTTAATAGCTTCATCATTTTTGATTGGTGAAAATAATGGTGAACAATCTGGTTTAACTTTGTCAAGTAAGCCATATAAGCTATTAAATAAATCAACTATATCTGGTCTTGAATCAGGATCTGGTTTCCACACTATGAATTATAAATTATTTTTAATAAACAAATGAACAAGTAAATAAATTAATTAACAATTAGCTATCAATAATTACTACTTACTTTGAGTTATTATTTTTATATAATTTTGAAAATAACTTGGGACGCCAATGTGAGGAGGTGAAGTATCTTCTCTTCGATTACTTGTTACATGTTTTTGAATATCTTGTAAATTCTTACCTTTATAAGGAATTCTTTCATATGCAAGTTCCCAAAGTGTCATACCAAAACTATAATATATATATAGATATAGTAAATATAAATATAAATTTAAATTTAAATTTAAAAATGGAAATAAATAATTTACCTAAATATTTCACTTTGTCTGGTATAAGGAGAGTATTTCCTTTTATCAACAACAACTTTACCATCTTGATTTAATTGATAATGTAACATTTTTTCAGGCGGAAACCAATGTACCATTGTTAATACACTATTTTCTAGATCTATTGTATAAGCATCTAAACCTCGACTATATTCAAAATTTGTAATTTTTGGTAACCATTTATCTGTTAACTAAAAAAATTGTTTTGAAAAATAAACAAAATAATAAATATTATGCACGCAAAAAAAATACATGTATATACACATAGTATTATTATACTCACCAAAATATTTTCACATCTAATATCATGATGTAATATGTTACAACCATGGATATACACTATTCCACGACAAATATCCACAGCAAGTTGTATTTTTGTTGGCCAATCAATATCTTCATTTTCATAAATTTCTTTTAGATTGCCCTTCTGAGCAAATTCAAAAACCATATAATCAGAACCATGCAATTTGGTTAGTCCAAGAAAATTAAGAATATAAGGAGAATTACGCAGATTAGCCAAAATTGTTAAGTAAGCTTGAATTCTTTCAGATTGTTTTTTTTGTCTATCACTTTCAAAATCGTTTTCAGGGGTGAGAACAATACGTTTACATACTACATCCATACACATATACATCTTTCTCGTAATTTTTCCACTGTCTTGTGTACAATTCGTGGAATGTCTTGGATTTTTTAATTCATTTGGTTGAATAAATTTAGGTTTTGGCTTTGGTTTACTTTGAGCATCAGTTCCTTCTGATAGTTGTTTTGTTAATTGATCCACTTGATGTTTTAATTGCGGTACTATGGAAAAATTAGTGTTCATCTCTATAATTTTTTCATTATTGTGAGTTTTCACCACTGCAACGTTTCCTGCCACATTCTCCAAGAACTATATATTTTAAAAAAAAATTTTCAGCATTTAAGAAAACATAATACATAAAATCATTACACAATCATTAACGCATATAACCTTCATAATGGTCTCAAAAGAATCTGAAATCACTTTAAAATCTTTTTGACGTTGCTCTTCACTGGCAATAACCACAGCAAGATTCAAATCATTTACTGTGCTATCAAAATCCTTAATATATCTTTCAAATTTTGATTTAATTGAACCAGATTGAAAAAATTTTTTTAGACCACTCATTTGAGTCACATCTACAATAAATTTCTTGATATCCTTGAGAAGATTAACAAATCTCTGGAAACAATGATAATAATTTATATCTTTAAATTTTTCCTCGTTGTCGTATTTATTCCTAACCAATGCTTGAACAGCCACTTCAGCCGCTTGCACTCGATTTACTAAAGCTGTACAACTACGTTTATTAATTTGTGCATTATTATACGCTTCTATTATTTTTGCAGTCAATTCTGCTACAAGTCCAATCATTGGAAGAAATGACGTTATAGCTAGTTTTTCAAACCTCAAAGTAATTAATTATTATGTTTTATGCAATAATAAATATATTCATCTTTAACAGATATTCATTTTTATTTTTATTACTAACCTTCAGTTACTTCAGCTGTAGCTCCCAATACTGTGGTTGCCGAATGTGATATCTGATAAAATGTATCATCTGTAAGCGTTTGACCAACACCTTGCATGTATCCAGCAACATTTGAATTTGTAATCCTTGACATTTTTACTTTTAAAAAAAAAATCTAAAACCACTTTAAATATATATAAAATTTTATATATTCATTCTAAATTTGGTGATCCAAATGAAAAACTGAACGTGGTTACTGTTTGTTAAACAAAGGTACAAAACAAGGATATTGGGCAAATAATATTTATATGTAGAAAGTAATATGTATTGGTGCAACATTCATTCTTGTTTTTTTTACAATGAAAATTATATATAACATGACGACGACTCGCATTGAGATTCCATGCACGGAGTTAAAGTAATATTTCTGATCCTGAAGAAGAATGAGTTGAATCGTTATTGTAACATAGCAATAGCATCTCCGTAGAAAAATATTTAGTTTTATTAAAAAAAATTTTTTTTTGCCATTCAAAAATAGTAGTATTGATATTATACAAAAGAAGAAAATTTTTTTTTTTGGTTTCAAGGTGATGAATGCGTTTTTGTTATGAAAGTCAATAGGTTTTCATTATCTTGAAGCAAATTTTTTTCTTGCTTCAAAGAATTATCCAAGTTTTCTACCATCCTTGGCATATATCTTAATAGATAAAATTTATTAAATTCATTATTATAAAGAGTGTCAAATCATAAAGCTTTTTTACCAGAAGCTCGTTAACAAATTGATGATATAGACCATTAACTGGTATTTACTAAGCGGACTCTATATTCCGTATCCTACTTGGTTATAACAGAGAAGGAAAAAGATTTACGTGATACAAACGCACTAAATATTCCAAAGTTTCGTAAACTAGAATTCTCATAATCTATAATTATATCTTTCATATTTACGATAAAAATAATGGATCATAATTTTTCTTAAAGCATTTATATCTATCCGAGCAACTATTAAATAAAATTTTCTTTCAAGACGAAAGGCAAGCTTCAATGAAAAAAACTCAAATTATGACACGATATGACTTTTCATTTAATAATGTAACGTCTACTTTTTTGCCAAAATTCTTCTTCTTCGTTGCTAATACCCTCTTTTATTTTCTTCATCTAGATCAAGTACTAACTCTTTCACCGCTATTAAATACAATAAAAAAACAGAATGGAAAGTAAAAACATATAAAATAAATGAATAATGAAAAAAGTATATATACACAGGACCGGGAAAATTCTATTGTATGTGGCCACCAAATTAAATGACAAACCATATTAATATTAATAGGAGTCTTAGACTTGTAATTGTAATTATGCGAATCTATTTTCCGAACACATTAATATTAATAATTCGAATCGAAATAGCCTTTATTAATTAAAATATTTAAAAGGAAGTTTTTTGTACTCGACATACTAAAATGATTATAAATTAAAATGTTTCATAATCTACTGTGATCAAACAAGGATTAATATTAGAATAAAAACATATCCCAAAAAAACTACTTCTCATAGTATAATATGAATAGCAATACTGGAAGATAAACCTTAACAGAAATATATGATAAATAATCTAAAAATCTTATTATTACTCTCGGAATGTCTTTTAAAGTTTTGCAAATAGCTTTTTTAGTATTAACTAATTCTTGAAAGTTAGGGTATGTTGTTGGCGTGACTCATAAGGAATTATTTACTATATAATATAATAGTGCGAATTATAGTGTAACAGATAACTCCTCTATTACTATTACTATATTAATATTGCGAATAAGTGTAACCGATGGATATTTTCTTCGAATTACTATTACAGTATATAATAACAACAATAATAAAGACAGCGTCCTTTTCCATTTTCTATTAATGCGAATCTATAGTGAGGCGTTCACATTTTTTTTAAAAAGTGCTTTCGAATCATAGTATTGGCGATCACATTCAATGGTCCTATATTACTATATACGTACTGGTGAGAGATGCCTAATAAGTAATGTCATAATAAATAAAGGGAATTGTTATTCACCCTCATTTTTGTTATTCGCACCCCACGTGACTAAGACAAAGATGAACTAATAAAATCATCACATTTTAAGCGATTTATTTGATCAAGTCATTTTCTAAGCGATTTATTTGGCTAAGCCATTCATTGGTCACCTTACTACACTTAGTCACGTGGGGTGCGAATAACAATTCCCTAAATAAAAGAAAATTATATCTCTTTCGTCATCTCTTCCTTCAATTAAAGAGATACAAACATGAAATTAAGGGAACTGTAGTGATTTTAGACTGTATAACTTTTTTTCTTTAAAAATTTTTTGTTTTTATATGTTGGAAAAAAATCGTTGATATATATATATAAACTTTGCAAACAAATAAAACCTTTGATTAAAAAATTTTCTATAAATCTTTCCTTTTAAGGACAAAGCAGGCCAAAGTCAAAAATTCATACGTAAAATTTTCTTTTATAAACTCCCCAATAATCAGTGATAACAAATGACCAACCCAAATGACCCAAACGACTAGGTCATTGATGTTCATTGATGGTCATTAAGGTCATTTGGGTTGGTCATTTAAATAAACCAATAAAGTTTTACCAATTTATTGTACGACAAAAGAGGTAGATCAATTCATTTTTTTTTGTTTATATGAAATATGGAATGTGTCAATTGAAGAGTGAAATATTTCAAAAGAAAAAAACAGTCAGATATGGAAACCTTTATAAAAGAAATCACATTGTAATTCCCATAATCAAGAATCTGTTGGCAATGATAATGAAGATGAATTTCTTGATGCAAATGAAGTAACTAATAAGGATACCGGCTGCAACTTTTGATGATGGTTGCTACCATCTTTGCGTCATATAAAAACAATTGCAACCACTGGTTGCAACCACCTTTACAACCATTTTGTTTCCTTTTTTGGATTGCGACATGGAACACTAGTAACTAATGATATGACACTCAGAGATGATAATACTGAAAATAATGACTGTGAACATTAGCATCTTTTGAAGGAGAAGAGGATTTAGATGCCTTTGAAAAAGGAACCGGTAATTCCATTAACAGAACTGAACATTGGGTAGAATTGATTCAAAATTGGATGAATATGATTGATGATAATGAAGATATTCTGATCCTTTAGAATTTATATCTGTAGATCATACTATACATCCTGCTGATGATCTAATTGCCAAATGGAGTCTGTAGTATTTTTAATGATAATTTAGAATCACCTGATTTTGTAAATTCATTTGATTAAATGTTAAAATTTTGAATTCAAAATTAAACAATATGATTGGTTCAGCAAATGACCGTGTCATTTAAATTGACTTTCAAGTGACCCAAACGCCTTGTCATTTGTCATTTGAGTCATTTGCCATAACTACCAATAATAACTTACGTGACCAAGCACCTCAAATATGACACTTCATATTCAGAATTCCTAAGATAATAACTAGAAAATAATTTGATGGCATTTGATAACAATAAATGTTCATATATACAGTATTTGAATTCTTTAATCTAAAGCATAGTTATTTTATGTAAAGAATTTTGAAAAGCACATTTTCCAAAATAATCAAGTTCAGCTAATGGTATAATCGATTATTTGAAAGATAGAAATTAGCAGTTAATTTATCTGGGATTGACCTGATGAATGAATATGACGAATAAACAACCTCAAAAAGTTAAATTCAATAATCGAATTAAATAAAACAAAGTCTAAGCAATGAAGTGACGGAGAACACCGTATTCTGTCGGAATAAGCAACAACTCCTTTTATTCTTTGATGCTAACTGGTTGCTTATTCACGAAGATTTAATCAAACGATGATAAATTAAAGTATAAATAATCCTTTAAGAGAGTTCTCAATGTTAAAGAGTAGTATATATATATATATATTAAATATATAAATTTTAGATTTATTTTTTAATAATGAAAAACTTATAAAGTTACTTATTCACGAAAAAAGATATTTGTGTAAAAAAATCGATTGTTATTGCTTATTCCCGGGAAAACTTTTAATAACAAATGTTTGGCTGTTAATATTGATCAAAAACCAATATTTACGTTAAAATCATGTCAATAAAGAAAAATCTAAAGACTCTAATCTCAAGTTCTTGATAAGCGACTGATTGAATAGTTGTAATTCAAATATTTGCTGCAAAAAAGAAAATTACCATTGAATCAAACAGATTGAAGATGAATAAGAGATGGCCATTCATTCCCCAAAGGTATTAAATCAAGTGAATTAAAATATGACTGTGAATTCTACTCATGTGACCTTAAGCTGCTTGAAATTGAGGCTGATGACCAAGGCCCTGAATTTCCGTGGTGTCACGATTTTTCTTGATTCAGGAGGGATGGGAAAACAAGACATGAGTATATTATATTGCTTATGCTTGTGTCACGATAATATTTCATGGTAAAGCAAAAACGCAAAAAGCATAATAATAAGCTCCGTCAATTCATTTCCCGAAAAATCCAACAAGGCAAAATTGCTGAACTTGTCGTATTACCGTTTTCCCAATATTTGCTCTTGCATTTTTGGTATAGTATTCTTTTTTAAAGATCGTGTAACAATAATAAATAATAGAGTTCCAAATCACCCCGATTTGTTTCAGGTCCTTCCTTCTCCATAGTAACACGGAAACCATTAAAAACTAAAAATTTTTATTAAAATATGAAAGCAGAAAAAGATAAAAAAGACAAAGAACATAATAAAAATATGGGAGTAAACGAAATAATTATTTTGGATATTGGAGGTATTAAAGTGAGTGTACACACACACACATGATATAATGTTGCATATACTCAAACATACAATTATTAATTAAATAATTATAATATCACACTCGCGTATCAACACTTGCACAATATCAAATACGCTTTTAGGTACAATGTTTCAAGAAAAAAATAAAGAATTTTTGATAGGAATAGAATAGCATTCCACTTATTATTGTGCAAGTGAATGTTTATGTGATCCATTAATGGTAACTTTACATCATCAACATAATAATCGTGATGAGTAGGGGGTATTACTTGTTTATAGAGCTTGAGAAGGAGATGGATTATTATCATTTTCAAAATTTCAAAACTTATATGAAATTGGTTTGGAACTTGAGAAAACTCTTGTAGAAATATTGAATTTTTTTTAAAAGGGCAGATTTATGTTGTACTAAAAAATTTCGAGGAAAACATAATTTTTAGTTTTAAATCCGATGATTTTAATTTCTGGCAGTTAGTTATAAGACAATGAGGATAACGTATATTAATATCACAATTAAAAAAAAATTAGAAAAAAAATTTCCAGGCATAGAATGCAGCTCTGGTGATGATATTAAGAAGGACTTTTAGGCATACTGTTAATCATAATTTTGATTATTAGTAGAATGTTAGTAGAATGTTAGTAGAATGTCAGTAAAAATATTAGTTGTAATTGAAAAAAAAATATAATTTTTCTCAAATAATAAAAAAAAAATAAAATTACGATAATTCGCGGGTTTAGCTCAGTTGGGAGAGCGTCAGACTGAAGATCTGAAGGCCGTGTGTTCAATCCACACAACCCGCATATAACACATGTTCATATTATTCCACAAAAATAATTTTTTTTAATTAATTAAAATTTATGTATAATGAATCAGTATATTATTTTACACAAAGGATAATTAAGAAATTACGAGATAATTCAATTTATATGATGGTTCTGTGATAATATTTATTTTGAGCTTACATCAGTAGATTTTTTTAAAATGTCACGTAACTTACTTGATCAAAAGGGGGTTTATTATTTAAAAATCAATTAATGCAAAAAAAAATTTTTATTTTTCTTTACTTTTTTCTTCTCCTCTGCCTCCTCCTCTTCTTTTCAAATGGCCGACAAAAATTTTCAATCTATTAATAATAATGATGATAATGATCATACAGACGACGAATATCTATTGTGGAATTTACCAATATTTTCTTTTAATGATAAATTGTCATTGTCCAATGTTGGGTATATCGATAATATGATGCATTATGGCGAAGAATGCAAAGGATATAATGATATTAATAATAATCAATATAATAATAATAATTATAATAATTATCAAATATTTTTTTATGATGATCATAAAAATCATAATCAATTACAATTACAACAACAATCTCAATTACGACAGTTTACCTGTAATTTTGGCAACAATGAATCTTGTTCAATTGATAATTATGGATCTGAAGTCATCAATATTACCGCTCTCCTCGCCAGTACCAGTACCACCAACAGCATTAATGATAATTGTAGCATTAATAGTGGTAATAGTAGTAATAGTAGTATTAATAAGGTTGCATACACTGCTGCTACTAAAGCTATTACTAATAATACCAGCACCAGCACTAACACCAATAACAACGCTACTAGCACCACCAATTCTATCAGCAGCGCTATCCCTAACGCTAATTTTAATTCTAATAATAATAATGATAATAATACTAACCCCAATCTTAATTTCGAGAATAATATCAATAATACCACCAATAATAATAATAATAATATCAATAATACCACCAATAATAATAATAATAATATCAATAATACCACCAATAATAATAATAATAATAATAATAATAACGGCATCAACAAAAGGAAACCTTCGAATCGATTACGACGAACAGACGATGAATATAGGCTTGAAAGAAAACGTGAAAGGAATCGTTTGGCTGCAAGACGTTCTCGTGACAAGTTTCGTTTTTGCCACAATCAGTTACGTGAACAAGTTATTCATTTAGAGAGTGAAGTCGAAAGATTGAGAGAAGTTTTAAAGAAAAATTAAATCGTGGTAATCAATTTAATCGGTTTATAACAATATAATACCAATAAGCATCGCTGTTGTTGTTGCTGTTGTTGGTGTTGTTGCGTTTAAAGAATTTTTTATTGACTTTATTTTCTTTTTTCGAAAAAAATTACAGGAAAATTTAATTCATAAAATATTTTTTTGCAAAATATCAAATTATGGATGTTTTAAAAAGTTTTTCCCTTTATATAACAATTAAGAATGTCAAATTACTTTTGTAATTAGATTTTTTTATACGCACATCATTCGATCAAATCGCAAAAAATCATAATTATAATAATAATGATAATAATAAATTGATATGTGTGTGAATATTAATGTTATTTTGCAATTATTTATTGATGATTGGAAATTTTTAATTTGAATCTAAATCCGAATTGTTCATCGAACGTCTATTTTCATCCCATCCATCTTGCTAATATTATCAATTCCCAATGTCAATCTCTTGACCACATTCTCCAATCGATCAGTTTTTTCCTCTTCAATCTCACTAACATTGACCGTCACAACTGTCAACGACTTTGTAACTTTCCATAACCTAAACAAAACCAAAATTCGGCAATGTCCATTCCTTTAACTCTTAACAGCATATCTAATAAAAATGTGGTAACAACCACGCAAGCATCAAATATTCGAATGTACCAATGTTGATATCTAATAAAATAATTCATTGGTCCAAAAGCAATGACATTTAATACTAATTCGATCAAAGAATATTATATTGATTATAAATCTCCAGGTTACTAATCCTGAAACTACCCTTTTGACCTTTTCATTGCTGTCACGTCCTTTACAACTATAATCATTAACGACAAAACTTGTACGACAATTGATCCTAATGTTATCGAATGTATTTGCTTCGAATCCAAGATATTTCTTTCATTTTTGATGAATATAAATAAATAAATGGAGAGAGATTAGAAAGAATTCATGCAGATCTCCATCAAATAAAATTTACCTTTTTTTTTTTTTTTATTTTGAGCAATAAAAAAAATGTCTTCGATAAACTCTAATACTCAAAAAAAAAACAATAACAATTTTATTGATGCTTCTCAGAAAGAGTCATTTGATGCTAATAAACTTATCGTAAATATTGGTGCTACTTCTTTTCTAACAGGCTTTCTTGGTGCATTATGGGCAATTAAACGTGCAGGTAAAAACATTAAAAAAATTTTTTTTCTCTACACTTTCTGACACACACACACACACACACACATCACACATATCATGACTACGATTTTTATTTTTTTATTGGATGATTAAAAGAATCAAAAGGAACATATAAAGACCTTACACCTAAAAAAATGGCAGAATTGGACGAGTTTGCAAGATATAGAATAGCAACTTTATTTACTCTGAAAACTTTTGCTTTAGGAACAATTCTTTGTTTATCAACGGCTGGTTTATTAACAATTGGAATTGGATCTTGGTTAAAAGTCAATAATGTAATTAATTGATGTTTATTTATTTATTTTATTTTGATTTCTCATTAATAATAAAGATTTCATTTCTTAATATCAATTTTACATTAAATAAATATCATCATCATCATCGTCATCATCATCTAAATGAAAAAGCTACAAGAATTTCATGATAAAATGAAGATAATAATACCTCGATATACACCAAAATCCAATAATAGGAATGATAATGATAATAATGATAATAATAATTACGAGCAACAACGGTTGGAAGAGGATAAAGATTGGGAGGTTATTACCGAGGAATGGAATAAATATCAAATTGAAAAAGAAAAACATTTGGAAAAAAAACAAAAAAGAAAAGAAGAAGTGAGAAAGAAGAATGAAGAAAATCTTAAAAAATTATCATCATTATTGTGGGGGTGGTGGAAATAAAATAGATAATCAATGGATTCTTTCTTGCCTATTTATTACTCTCTAAATCTTCTATATATCTGATTATTGTTGTGACACAAATAAGAAAAGAAACCCATCAAGATGAAGGTAAATATAAATATAAAAATTATTATATAATTAATTATTGTGCAAAATGATGAAATTCGCGTTATTGTACACAGAAAAAAGCAATTTTTTCTATGATGAACGTGCAGGGGTACTGATTGCATTATTTATGATGATGTTTAATAAAGACCTTATGCTATAAATTGATTTGAATCACTAAAGAAATATCATTTTTTTAATAGGATTTTTTTTTTTGCCAAATTGGAATAATAATTTTACAAAAAGCTTTGCAACATATAATTTTAGTATTATATTATTTTCTATATTTGACAAACCCGCCAACACCCATCTATATATCTATCTATGTAGCAAAGAAGAAAGAGAGAGTGGAAAATTTAATGGTGATTATATTATATATTTTGTATGCGTGTGTATATATATAGTATGTAAAATTGTGAGTTCTAATCAAGTAAAAAAATTGTACATTAGGAAATTATTTAATTAATTATAAAATAATTTTAAAATATATATATTTTACAAGTCTTTTTTCTTCCTTCTCTCTTCTACATGTAAATTATACCCAACCCGTGTGTATTGATAGATATATATATATATATATATATATATATATACCCAATGTTACACAAGTACAGGATTGTTCTTAGATTACTATTTATATTACGTTATTAATTAAAATATTAGGGGAAGCGGAAGAATGATTTTGTTAATAAGAAAAAAATACAATCATATCTAATATTATTATTACTATTACTATTACTATTATTATTATTATGTTATTTACAATTAAATGCTTTTAAAATGGAAAAAAAATTTTTTTAAAATTACAAAAAAAAAAAATTTAAAAATATAAGAAAATATAATGTGCGAAAAGAAGAATCCCTAGAATTGAGCACAACTATAATCGTAGTGATTCGATAAATTTTTTGACAAGATTGATCCACCTATCGGTCTACAAGCAACATAACAAAATAAACAGATGCTAAGTCCACAAACTATATGGAGCAATGATTGCGTCCATGGTTCAAGTTCATTCAGACATGTATTTGCTGTTGATATATCAATGCAATGTGTACTTATATCAAAATTAGTTTTGATTTCTGTTAATTTTGATGAAATTATTGAAATTATTGTTAAATCTTTCATGATGATGAAATTGGTTATATGAATTATAAATTTATTAAATTTTTCTTCAAGTTCTCTAATGATTTTAAAAAAATATCTTGTGTGTGTGTGCGAAAAACAAAATATTTTTTAAATTTTATATCTCGCCAGGAGAGAGTATATATATATATATATATGTATATGAATGTATGTATATATCTATATATATAAATAAAGGAGTGACAATTCTACTATGGTATTGATGATATATTAGTAGAATGAATGTCGCATTACAGAATGTTGTTAACAAAGGTGGATGGATGAGAGATGAAAAGGGAGAGAAGAAAAATAAAAGGTTTGTAAAAAAAATTTAAAATTCTTTTTTTTTGTTTTTTTTTAAATTTTATTTTTTTGAGACTAATATTTATATATAATTAAATATAATATAAAACAGTATATTTTAATTTAATGTATGCTGCTAAATTACCAGATTGATGATGAATGTTCCACTGCATAAAAAAAATTAATTAATTTAATATTAATTATATGGAATAGTAATTGATTTCTTGTCTAGTTTTTTTCATCAGTTTATTATATCCGATTACACTTAATTTAACAACTTTAAAATAATTCGGTTAATTTGATTATTATTGTTGTTGTTGTTGTTGTTGTTGTTATTGTTTTATTACATACATTTATTTTTTCATATGTATAAACGCGCGTGTACTTTTTTTTAATCAATGAATCAATTTTAAATGAATTCGACTGAGGAATTTCTTAATTTTGCTGATCACCATTTGTAGTAATAAAATAAAAATTCTTCAAACATAATGGTTGATGTTTTGTGACATTTATATGTAAAAAAATAATAATGACGATCTTGGAACCCAGTTTATAACTTATTTCCGTTTAAAGAAGGTAATTAACACAACATCACAATATTTGAGTATTTTCAGCAAATGATTTGCAAGTGGTCCGTTAATTTCTATTTTATAACACCTCATTAGTATTGGTGGTAGGACCTAGCATTGTTACCATTGGAGCATTAAGAGAAATATTTGGTAATGTGGGAATTGAGATACAGGATATTGTCTCACCCACGTTTTTAAGGAATAAACCGATGATAATGATCTTGATGATTTTTTTGATTGGCCATTCACGCTAGTGCAAATAAAGCAAAAAAAATATTAAAGAGAAAGCTTCGATTAAGGTTAAGGTTAATAATAACGTTTGGATGGCAAACCAATAAAATCATTTCGTTTTCTCTCATACGGTCAACATCTCTTATCAATCTTGCAAAAAGAACTGCCACTAAAAAACATTAAATATTTTTCTTGCTTTGGTTAGTTCAGGAGATTAATTACTGAGGAGATTGTTGATACCTGACAAGGAGAAAGCATTCAAGAAAATTCATGGCGTTTTTTGTTCCTTAGAAAGAATTCTCCAAAAGACCTTTAAATGTGATGTGTTCAACGAAAGCCTTCTCCACCATCGCTGGTAGAAAAAATGTAATTCACAAAGATTCCATATAGTGAAGGCATTGAGCATAACAACCGTTTTACAATATTTTTACAATAACTTCCATAATATTTCACTAGTATTTGTAATACCATTGTAATAAGATTGTAAAAAGGATCGTTATCTTCCATGCCTTTTCATTATGTGGAATCTTTGTGAATTACATTTTTTTTACCCAATGCATAATCACAAAGATCCTAGAAGAGAAGATGGTAAGGTAATCATGATATTATCCTTTTCCTCTTTATTGCTTTGTATAGACATCAGTATGATTACTAATATTTTCAACTTATTCCCCTGCAATATATTTTTTTATTTTTTACGAAGTGGTGTATTGTGTGATCTCAGCAATAACAAATAGTTCCCTTGTTGACATACGAGTTTTCTTCTTGAGGCATCTGCTATCAGCTGGGTCATTAATAAGATATCTTATTCCGATTTAGAAGGAGTTCTGAAAAGCCGAGAATTTTTCTTTTGGGCTCATTAATGAATAGCCCACAGTTACAACACGCTTCTGAAATGAGTTTCTGTTACATGTTTATTAGAACTATAGATGGTATCTAAACTAAATTATTTAGACAATGTCTAAAATATAAATTAATTTAGACATTTTAGACAATCATGGTCTCAATTGTCTAAAATGCTGAAATTGAATTTTTTCCTGGATAGTTACTGAATTTTGTGGATTTTGCAAAATATCACGTGACTTTTAGTTGTATTTAAAGCAAATCATTACTATTTATATTAATTTAGACATTTAGGCATTTAGACATTTTTGTCTATAATTAGAACCAATCATATTCGCATGTAATTAATAACCTAACCTATGACGTTTGCTTACAATTATTTATTTATAATTAATATTCAAAAGAATGATTTTTTTCGTTTTATTGAATGCAAACAAATGGATGATTGATTAATGTTGATTGACGTAATTTTGTAATTTCATTTACGAAGTTATCATTGAGAATTACTCAAATGCACAAAATTTCAGAGACGGAAAGAGATATTTTTGCTTGCCAAATGAGACTTGGTTGGCGTTAAGAAAATTAATTCCAAAATTTCCTAATCAAAACCAAATGTTTCATCCGGATATTATTGTTCGGGCGAAAATCTAAATAGATTATTGCTAAAAATGCTATTACAATACCGCAACGCATTCCTTATTGTGCATAAAAATAAAAAATGGGAAATTGAATGTTTTTTGCCGCCCAATTACCATATTAATTAATTAATAGCACCTTAAAAAATCCAATTGATCAAAGAATATGTAATGCAAGTCATCTTAATTTCTTCAACATCGGTCTCCATCATTTGAACACTATTTATTCTCATCTGTTGGCTGATTCTTCTCCTCTTCATGGCTGACCCGGTCAATACCAATGCAAGCCAATTGTGGAGTATTTTTGATCATGGGTATTTAATTTATTAATATAAAAACGAAAACATAAGTTGATTTTGAGTGTGCGTTATGTAATCTCCATAATCGGGGACGGATAGATTTCTCCAGAATGACAAATAGGAAAATAACCGCCGGATTTAAAAGTCCGGAAGCTTAAATATTGTCTAATATGAAACCCATTAATGAAACGAGCCTGCATATTTACAACAATGCAAAAGTCAAATAATGTAATTTGGGTTTTGCTTTGATTATGTTTGCGTGTTTAGTAAAGTACCTCTCTCTACCATTGGTTTATAAACCTACCATCACAGCTTTGTAAAGTATTCGAGTATTTTTACTCGTGGTAATTACTATCAGATTTAAATTGGATCGCATACATACATACATACATACATACATACATACATACATGCATGCATGTGTATACGAATTTGGTGAAATTCTTCGATTTAGTTCTTATCTCAAATATCTCAAACATAATAATAATTATAATAATAATAATAACAGTAAGATCAATCAAAATAAAACTTTTTTTCATTATTTTTGTCTTCTTGTTGCTCTTATAAAGAAATAAACTAAATTAACTAATTAATAAATTAACCGAAGACAATCTTTTTTTCCTTCATTATGTGTGTATACAATATTTATTTATATGTTTATATTTATAAATATAGTATTATTGACTACGGAAATAATAATTACATCTATTATATTATATTATTTATGAAATTAAATTTAAAATACAAAATTTATTTATTCTAATATTTCCTAAAGGTTTTAATTGGTTGATTAAATTAAATAAATAAAAATTAATAAATAATCAACTATTTAATAATCTATAATTACCTCGTCTCTTGACTCTTTATTATTAATATCATCTTCGTCAAAACTATTTAATTCTATCATACTAGTTTTAGCGGCTGAATTTAACGGTCCATAAATTCCTGCCCCTCCTCCTTTTTCCCCTATTACAAATTTTTCAATCCATGCATTTTCAAATCTGAAAAATATCCATAGACAACGTCTCAAAACTTCTAAAACCTCCATTAGGAAAACGCCGCCCTCCAATTGATGTATTATATGTAGATGTGATGACAATTTTAACGACCAGGTAAACCTTAATAAAAAATCCATCATTATTGCAATATAATATATTACTGGGTCTTTAAATATTAAATTTTGCCTTAATTTAAAACTTGGTATATATGATTTTGGATGTGTTGGTGTGAAAAATTCTAAATTCCAATCTTTTGCTACATCCCAATAAAATGAATAAATTGAATTAAATGCAACCGATAATACCCTGCAAATTTAAAGATTTGAAAAAAAAAAAGAGTTGAATGATTAAAAAAAAATAAAAAAAATATTTCAAATGCTTTATTTATGATTTATTTACCATAATTTAAGTAACACTGGCGGAGGAAGCCATATTATTGATGATTCAGTTAGTGCTTCATATTTATACAATTTTTGTAAAGCTGAAAATATTATTACTGGAAATGCTGAACAATATTTAATTGCATTAAATAAATGATGTTTATTATTAAAATCTGATCCAATATATTCTGTTAAGCATTGTCTAAATCTAATAATATATGGTATGCTATGTTTGTGGTGGGGGAGGGAAGAGCAAAGAAGAAAAAAATTTTTTTTTATTAACAACAACAATAATAACAATTATAATTATAATCATATATAATTAATTACCTAGTTAACATAGGAGCAACTATATAACTGTAACATCGATTACCAGAAGCTCCACTTTGCTCAATATCGTAAAATAATAAAATACATCCGGTAACATATAAATCTCCTAAAACCTTGGCAAAACTTGTTAAAATATCTGCCATTATAACATCTGAAAAATAAACTTCTGAACCAAATCCTGAAAATATCACTCTTTTAATACACCTAAAATAAAAAATTTAAAAAATAAAAAAAAAAGAAATTTTTTTAGATTAATAAAATCAAATAATAATATAAAAAATTTCTTTGCTATATCGTTTTTGTTATTTTTATTATTATCAATTTTTATTATTATCAATTTATTATTATTATCATTATTTTCTTATATTTGATTTATTATTTATTATTATTCATACTTTATAAATCTTAATCTTTCTTTTCTTCTAAAGATATTAAATGGACATAACAAAATAAAAAAAACAACCACATAACAAACCAAAGGAATCGAAGTCCATTCAACAATTTTAGCTTGTAAACCGCCAGTCACTTGCCAAAATATAATTAAATTAAACGAAATCCATATTGTAAACACTATTGCAAGTGAGTATATAGCTTTATATAATAGCTGTGTTTTATGATGGTAAGTCTGTTTTTCATGTTGCGTGATTACTGACAATACTGCTGAAGCATCTATTGAATATAATGAAAGAATGTGTAAATTAAGTCCCCAACTCCATATGCCAATCACCAAAACCATCAATGCTCTATACGGTAACGGAAACGTATTGGAAAACGTCCATTTTATGGTGTCGGTGATATTGATGCTAGCAGACATTTTTAAATAAATCTTTTTTGTCACCACTTTAAAAATTAAATTAATATTAAATATTTATATTTTATACGAGGTTCATCATCTATTTATATATTAATATTTATTTGTGCCAAGAAGTAATCTAATTGGCCATTGAAGATCATTTTTATAAAGAGAGACGAGCTAGCTCGGTTCGGGAAATAATATATTATCTTTTACCATTGAATATGAATGATTTGATTGCCTGTTTTTCTTTTATTTAACAGGTATCGCGAGTTCTGTTCGTGGAACCTGTAGGGTTATAGTTGCGAAAAACATCATATTACATAAACTTCAAATTGCTATTTTCTTCAAGTCTCTGTGAACTTGGCACGTAATGAATAATACATCCTGTTCTGGTTTTGGGAGAGCTTGGAAAGCTTCACGCAGAGTTCAGAAACTCTTTTTGAGGGAATCATTGTTGAGCTGATTTTCAAGGGATATATTTTTTTTTATTAAAATTTATCGCAACCTTAACAATAAAGTCATTGGCAAATGTAGTCCAATGATACTGTGAATGCTCTATCAAAGGTTTGAATTATTAATCCATTTATTAGCTTCTTTAATTGTCAACTAAAAATATAAAGAAAAGAAAAACCATACACGTATATAATTAATATTGTATCGGACATCCTTTAATAGCAAGCTTTTACAGCATAAACTAAATGTATTTATTTTTCTCTATCTTTGTCGTTTATACATGATTTTGAAACTATCTGTGATTATAATCATCAAACCTTTGCTGTTTCAAACAGTTCCCGACTTCTCGTGATCTTGTTCAAAAATTTAAATTACATAACTATCATAAGCATTTCTCTAGATGAATTTTTGTCCATTTTGTCCTATCAAAACAAAACATTAATGCATTGGTACGGCTGGTATAACCCTTTCTCATCTTTGTGATAAACGTTTATGACAGATTGGTGTTAGTTGAACATTTCCCGTGGAACACTCTTAGAATGTATTACAGGTTGCGAGTTCAAAATCATTATAACCAAATAAAAATAATCATTTACAAATTGAAATTCCATAAAAACGAAATTTTTAACATTACTATTTAAAAGTTTTTGGAAATGTTGATTATGTGTCGATGAAATGGAAGTTTGAATAGCACTCTTAGACGAAGAATGATTTTGCTAATTTCGAGAAAAAAACCAATAGGTGAATTTCTTCCATTAATTAGATTCTCTAGTGCAAGAAAGTTATGTCGCATCAATTGCATTTTTCTAGGACTTTAAAGAAAAATATTACATCTAATTCCTAATAATGGTGATCAATTATATTGCATAAAAATTTAGTCTTACTTTTTGCAAGCTCGATTGTTAACAAAAGTTTACCATACAAATTAATCAGTGAAGTCAAACGTGAATTATTTTTATAGTAGTGATGGATGGTTTAGATGCGACTATATTTCATCAAAAATGTGTTATAATTGCTAAGGATGATCACTATCAGGGGGTTGCATTCTAATTGCGGCCGTTTTTTAATTGCGGCAGGGTTTCCTTAGTAGTTGCCAAAATAAAAAATTTTAACCAAATAGTTAGTTGGTGGTTATAAACTGTATTAAAAAATCATTTTGTATTTCGTACAAATCCTTCTTTCATATTTGCCTACTTTTGGTAGTAACCATGATCTTTGTTTTAGTAACAGTAGCATGGTGCAGCATTACACGTCTAACTAAATTTATATTGATTCAAATTTCCAAGCTCATCCATAATTGGTTAATTAATTACACGTGCCCTAAAAAATTTTTCATTACGAATTTTTTTCTTTCAGCCATTAAAAAATAAAAATAGACTATCCTTCAAAATGTTAGATTATTTATCATCATTAGAAAACATCAATAATACTTTACTTAATAATCATGAACATTCAAATTCCAACGAGGATGCATTATCATTAAAATATATAGGTAAACTAGTAAATGATCTTACTAAATTGTTGAATGAGTCTAGTTTTTATGACGTGGAAATTAAAATTGGAGTTGGTCAAGACATTAAAGTTTTTAAAGCTCATTCAACAATTTTAAAAGCAAGGTCTTCATATTTTAATGTTGCTTTATCAAGTAATTGGATAAAAAGATCAGAAGGTGATAGGAACATTATTTTGTTTGAAAAAGAAAATATTTCTCCAAAAGTATTTGAAGTACTTTTAAAGTAAGATTGGTTTTAAGTTTAATTAATTAGATAATTGAATTATTTATAATTTTAAACAATCTGCTTCAAATAGTTAACCTTTTTCATTTTTTTTTTTAAAAAGATATATTTATAATGGAATTGTTAATATAGGTGACCTGGATGCAAATGAAGTCTTTGAATTGCTCGAAACTTGTGATGAATTAACCTTTAATGAATTGATTGAAGATTTGCAAAAGTACTTAATCAACGAAAAAAAAGAATGGATTTTACAGAATTTAATTTCTATTCATAAAATTTCATCAATTCATCAGTCATTTACTTTATTTCAGGATTATTTTAAGGAGTTAATCGACTATATTCCAGAATTATTTTTAAAATCTGATGACTTCAAGACGATTGAAAAACCTATTCTTATATCCATCTTGAAAAGGGATGATTTAGAATTTGATGAAATTAATATTTGGGATTGTGTTATTCAATGGGGGATAGGGCGAATTGACGAAGAAGACAGAGAGGATGATGAAGACATGAATGAAAACGATGATTATACTGTTTCAGTAAGAAGTAAAGACTATTTCTTTAAGTTGAAAAAAAAAATAGAAAGTATTATTCCATTGATAAGATTCAAAGAAATATCTAGAGATGATTTTTATAACAAAATTAAACCTTATGAGAAAGTATTTGATAAAGAAATATACGAAGAACTTTATCAATGCTATCTTTATAATGTATGGCAACCCAGATCATTAATTCTTCAAAAAGGTCCAAGAACAGGATATGGAAATTTATTAAATATACAAATGAAAATTTTAATTTCTAGTTGGATCGATGAAAAAAGTAATTATTTTTATAATGAAAACATTATACCTTATAAATTCAAATTAATTTTATGTGGCAGTCGTGATGGATTCTCTAAATCGGTTTTTGAGAATAAATGTTTTGACATTAAACAAACTTTAACTATTATGAAAATTAAAAGAACAGGTGAATTGGTTGGTGGGTATAATCCAGTTTTTTGGAATGTTAAAGGAAAATCTCCTGATGATAATTATTATATCGAAACCGATAAAAGTTTTATTTTTAAAATTGATAATAATCAACTTAACAATTCCATTTTAAGTAGAGTCAAGAAACCTCAAAAGGCAATGATTCGTAATAGTCAAAATTTTAGTTTTATTGTAAATAACCAATTTATTGAAACATCAATATCTTTTTGCGATTTAGAACTATTTAATAACATTAATAATACACCTTATTGTTCTTATGATTATCATAGTAATACTTCTTATAATGAAAATAATTTAAGTCTTATAAATCAGTATACTGATCAAGTTCATTTGTTAGAAGAATATGAAGTATACAAATTAGTAAATAATTAATTGCTGCTGATACATGGGCAATGATTGACATAAAATAAAATTTTCTTTTTTTTAAAAAAATCTCTGTTTCTTCGATTGTAATCCTCATTCATGTCTACTCAAAATTATAAAACTCGACTTTTAGCAAATTCATTATTATTATAGACTATATAACAAGAATATCACGTGAAAATAGTAGTTCTTAATTGGAAAATCGTTCAGGATATTTTTCCCACACGTCTACTAAAAATTGTTATAATCATGTATTTTTTGGCATACATTTTTCTTAATGTTAAATTATAGATTTTGATGGAGTTAAAAGCCTGGACTGTTTGATCACCAACCAATAACTTCTGGGAATTTTTATTTTGCACAACATGATTGGTGTGCTTGAGATCATTATCCTGTCAAAGCCTTCAGTTGTTTCCAAACATTCTTTGAATTACTAGATTGTGTTTTCAAAGTATTTCAAAATTATATATGAAGAAAATATTATCACTAAAACTTCTTGTAAGAGTGGAGATAATTTTCTTACTGATATCTATCAATTCCAACAAGAGCATCCCGAATTCATTTGCAACATAGATTTAATGAAAAAAGGAATCATTACACTTCAATCTGAATGGATGAAAAACCAAAATCTTAGTACCTCAGCTATATTGAATGATAGCACCTACAAATACTTCACTAATGCATTTCTGCTGAGATGATTTTTAATGTCATTATATTTTAATTATCTTCTATTAATTTAAATAATATTTAATAATAGTTTGATATATTGTGAGGTACTTCAAAGATGGAACCCTGTTTTAATATCAATAATTTATAAAGAAGATTTTGTTCACTATCAAGCACATTTTAAGTATTTGATAGAATGGATTGATGAGTGTAATGATCCCACTAATAAATATGCTCTAGTTATGGACTTTAGCTTTGCTGAAAGGAATGGATTTCTGCAAGCTTACATTGAACATGGATTAGAAAAATATCAAAATAAAAATTCTTCATTGCTGATGCCTTTGATAGAGTCACATAAAGAATATTTGAGAAATGAAGCTAAAACACTATCAAAAGGCTGCGTAGAACACTTTAGACAATCAATTACAAGAATCATGCAGTTGTAAAGCATGAAACATCAAAAAAATTTGAATCAATTGCATTGGAACTTCTAGAGATAGATGAAAAAGAAGAATTTTATAAAAATGTTAAAATTATTCACAATACAACATCATGGCTAGAATGGTGGGTTTATACAGATGCAGGAAAAATGCTTTTTCCTGTGTTAAGTACTATGGACAAATAACTCTTAAATCCATTCCTAAAACAATTAATGCTCAAGAGTCTATGCATAATCAGTATTACATGACTGGGTCAATCCAACAATCAATAATAATGGGTTTGGAAAACTTTCTTCTATTTGTAATTACTTTAGAATCAGATTATAGAGATCGAATTAAAGATCATCAATTGCAATATGGTGAATTGGAACGTTGGAAGAAAGTTGCAGAAAAGTATGGCACAACCAAACCATATTGTGGCAAAAATTCAAGAAAAGGTGCTGGAATTAAAGATAGAAGACCTCCAGACACCACAAAAGATCTTTTGAATAATAACATAGAAAATAGTCAAACAAAAATAATAGTTCTGATTTCCAATAAAAAGGAGATCAAGCAATACCAATCCTATCCCCACTTTCACGACTCATGTTATATAACATCATTCTTGTAAATACTTTATAACTATTATTTTTACTATATTTATTTATTATTATTATTTTTATCTGAAATTTCTTCATCTTCCCTATAGTGCAAGTCACTTAGTCGCTGAACTTTTTGTGCCATGATGCCAATTTGGTCTAGGGGAATGGCTGGCAGGCACCTAGAGTATTTGTATTGTATTTGTTTAGGAAATTGGAAATCCCGAAAAGTTTTAATTTAGTTTTAGTTTAGTATTGGAAATACATAAGTTGGTTGGGTCTGCTGTATTGAAAATACATTATTGGAATATTACATTATCTATCTATATATTTTGGACACATTGTGAGCTTGTGTAGCTGGAATTTACATGCTCACAATATCAATTATTTTTATATGGGGGTAGTTCTATATATCACTTAATATTAAGATAACAAAATGGGATATTATAAAACTTTTAATTATAATCACATTACAAATGACTGAATTTTGATCCCTGAAATTGTTAGTAATACAAATGTTCACTTTGTCTGGTTTTGTTGCAGCATGCCCTATATACAACACCATTTTCCTGATGTAGTTATTTTTTTCTACATATAAATTTAAATCATTACTCCACTGGAGTTCCATATTTGCTCTTTGTGACTTAGAACAATTGCAATAAAAGCAAAATACTCGGCTGTAGGAGCCTTAATACCATGAACCAATTGCATGAATTTCCAATCTGCAGACATAAAAAATTCAACATTCCAATAGGTATTTTCTGGATCAACATATATCCATTTGTTTTCAAATTGGAAAGTTCTTCATTTTAAATAATGACCAACAAGATTCTAAGGAAGTTTTATTTTCCTTTTCAATCTAAATACATATACTATAATTAATAATAATATAAATCTTTACAGCAAATACACATTGTTAATGGCCTCCACAAATCTCTCTTAAAAATGCAAAATACTATAATCATCAAATTAGATAATTACGGAGCAATATCCAAACCTCGTAAGGTTTATTTGAGAATGGAATCGAATCACTACACCATCATGAATGAGATCAATTTATTCTCTATGAACGGATCTGGAAGGATCGACCGCAGTAAGCATAGTAAATTTAACTAAACAATTTTCTATGGACGATTTATTATTACCTATGTCGATCTTAGTTATTTGTCTGATAGGTAGGGACCCAGAAACTTGACACATCTCATATAACACATTGACCCTGAAATGATGTCAAAAAATAAGCTTAATCATTTTTATACAACAATACATACATACTAATGCCTCTTATAATAATACATGACATTAGGTTAAGACGATTTGCATTTGTGCATATACTCTTCCTGGTTTTGAAATTGCGAATTTTGCCTAGAATTAGTGGTAGATCTATTTTGAGTTTTTCGTTGTTACTTTTAGATTTGTGAGACATATTTGATATATCTATATGAATGAATAACTTCAATTTTTTTATTTTGAATAAATGCGTATTTATATAAACACTCAATAGAATTTTCCCGGTCCTATTTGGGGAAAGTGGGTGGACGAACAGTGATTAACTTATGTTCAAACTTTGCAGTAATATAATCCTTTATCTTTTAAAGCGCTTTTGACTTCAGTATATAATAATGAAAAATGCCAAAAACTAAATGATACATACTTTGTAAAGAAACTAACAAGGTAGTTGTTCTATAATTATTTATGTGTCTATTTCTTATTATTAGATAAATGGGAATGGATAATAGAAACAAGGTAGTTAGTTGCCCTATAATTATTTAATTGTATAATATATATCTATTTCATGGATAATGAAGGCAGTTGTTCTTTAATTATTGTTAAATTAATTAATAATTTTGTATCCAGGTGTTTGAGTACTTTGTTATTCAACATCTGGATAATCGGTCAAATAAATATTAGCACTCGGATAATAGGTGTTTCACCGAATATCCGCTGGAGAAGGCTTCAAACGAATCAATGAAATTCGAACCGCAAAATTTTGATTGGTATGATGAAAAATATTAAATTTATCAAAAATAACAAAAATACAGTTGATGGGCAATGTTGAATCAGCAACAGATGACAGCAACAATGGAAGTTTTATTAGAACATGAAAAAAAATTTTTTTGGTTGTAAATTTGTTTGATTTTTCATATATTGTTCATTTTTCGTCACAACCATGTATCTTAAATTTGTTGTGTTTACAATCATTTCATTGACATTCGTTATATTAAGGTTATTTTGATTATATCAAGAGATATGGTCAAGAGAAGAGTTAGGAAGAGAGTTATTCTTCAACCAAGTCAAAAACCAACCCTTTAAATACATTTTCGAGTAGTACAATTTAATTTATTAGACTATTTCAATGGTTGCTTCCAACTTCTTAAATTCGTTAATGAAACAATTGTTGGTGAAGTGATTGTTGACAAAATGAATCAAACCCATATTTATTTCTACGTTTATCAAATTCGCGATTTTAATTGGTCAATCAACAAATAGCATGGGTTAAAATTTTGTGTTCCCTCCTGTTCCCAGAACGGTCTCTCCTGTTAATACTAGTGCTAGTACTATATAGTACTAGTCATTTGACTATACTATATTCGAAAAGTCAGTTTTTGTTTTAAAAATAATAAAAAGGAACATTTTAATGTTTAACGATTGAAGGTAAAATTAATTAATTAATATCACTTTATATATTTTAATGAACATTAATAAAATATTCTAGTATTTAAGAATGTTTATTTAAATGATTTTTTTAATTTTGCGTGATATTTATTTATGTTTGCTTTACATATAAATCACCTGATCCATCCATCCCTTCCCAAGACAATAATCATTATTCAATTTTTTTAGTTCCATTATCATCTTTACCAGCAGCAGCATCATTAACATTAATGATATTATTGTTAATAGAAACTCTAAATTTATCCACTTTATGTGCTAAAAAAATAGTTTTGAAATAGGTTAAAAGCATACCAATACCCATAACATTAACGTTTTTTGGCGGATTAGTAATATTAATTAATAGATATGTAAAAATCGAATCAATGCTAAGAATTGCTGGTCCCCATCTTGCCCAAAAATCTTGATTGTCATTGGCGATGGTTGTGGTACTGGTAAGATAATAATAATATGGTAGAAAGAAAAGAAATAATTCTAATGGATGCAAAAACTCTGGATAGTCCCATAAAGCAAATCCATATTTTGGTTGACTATTATCAAATGTAAAAAGTAACAAATCTATAAATAACAAAAAAAAAAATTTTTTTTGAAATGTTAATAAATCACATACATACATACACAACAACAACAACAACAATTATTCTTTGATATTAATGTTAATTAAATCACCATCATTATGAGCCAATAAATCCTCAAACCAATGAGATAAAACTACTAATGATACTAGAATAGCTGCTTTATTATTATTGCCACCACGACCAACACCTGGTGATGATGATGTATATTTTGAGAAAAATCTATACCAGGTCCCAAATAGTATACTCCATAAGATCGCACCAAGTAATGAATGTGTATAATTTATTTTTATTAAATCAAGATGATGAGCTTGGTTTTTTCCATGAGATCCTTGGACTAATTAAAAAGAAAGAGAAATTGAATGAATATATTTTAAATTTTAAAATCTCCTCTCTTTTTCATCTTTCGCCAACACTATAAATTCCTTTCTTTATCAACAATTTCTTACCTTTTTCAATACCAAGCACAAGAAAAACACTAAAAATTAAATCAACAAACTGTAATAATGCATAGATAGTATAATATATTTTTAATATAAATAATATAATATAAGTAATATGACATAGTAAAATATAACCTGAGCAGCAGTCATTAATACCCAAAGAGGTATTTTTGGTTCAAGATTCTTTACAACCCATGCAGCAACGTAATGTCCATAAAACATTTTTTTTCTTTTTTTCTTTTTTTAATTTAAAAAATTGAAAAGAATTGAAAAGAATTGAAGATCATCAAATGATTTATCTCGTAGTAATTCCCTTATTTACTAGTATTATGTAGTGTTTGTTTGTTAAAAATTAAAGATATATCAAGTATTACTTTATTTGTTACGCACTCTCTCAAACTAATGGTAAGTAAATATGGTAGATAGGTGGTGTGTTATTCAAGAAAATAAAAAAAAAACGCGCATTTTTATTTTTTTATTGTAAATTTCTAATTCAAATAGAGATTGTTTGTTTGTACAACATTTTTTTTCAATAGAGAACTTTTTTTGAATCAAAAAAAGACGAGGAAAAAAATTTAAAGGTAAAATAATAATAATAAAAATGAATATTGATAAAAAAACACAAAAATATGATCGTCAACTTCGGTAAGCTTTCAATATATATGTTTATGGTTTTTTTATTTTTATCTTTCAAAAATTAACAAAAACATTAAAAAGCTTATGGCAATCAGAAGGTCAATTGGCATTAGAGACTGCTAAAGTTTGTCTTATCAATGGCACTTCAACAGGTTGCGAAATTCTTAAAGATTTAGTTTTACCTGGTAAAGTAATATTTAAATTTCCCACGCCCTTTTCTCAGTTCCATTGTTGAATTAACCTTGCTGTTGTATTTAGGCATTGGATCATTTACAGTTGTTGATAACAAGATTGTTGAAGGATCAGATGTAGGAATTACATTTTTTCTTGATACAGATTGCATAGGAAAAAATCGAGCAGAGTCAGTTACTCAATTATTGCAAGAATTAAATGAAGATGTTAAAGGATATTATCTTTCAGAGGTTAGCATATATATAAATTTCGAGAGAGAAGGAGGGAAGGGAAGCATGTTAAATAATTCCTTTTAAAACCAATTGAACCAAATGATTTATGATATGTGTATGCATGATTCAAAAAGGATTAGAAAAATTGACTTTTGCATAAAAATAATATTAATATTAATCATGTTGATAATAATGATTGATTCACTCACACACACAATATGATGAATTAATTAAAAAATTCTCAGGATCCAATTACCCTGATTGAAACGCGACCTGAATATTTTTTACAATTTTCACTTGTTATTATGGCCATGTCTGGAGTCAACGAGAAACAACTACTAAAGTTAGCCGATACTTTATGGAAGGCTAAAATACCACTTGTTGTTGTACAATCTGTTGGATTCATTGGATATTTTCGTATAGTGTTACCTGAGCATACAAGTAAGATTTTTTTCAATATAACTTTAAATGCAACTTTCTTTCTTGTATTATATTTGTCCTTAATTTTTTAAAACTATAATATATATAGTTGTTGAGACGCATCCTGAAAATGCTTTTGATCTTCGTTTGGATGTACCTTTTCCAACTCTTGAAGGATATGTTAATAATATTAATTTTGATACTCAAGACTCTAAAGAGCATGGTCATATTCCTTATGTGGCTATTTTATTGAAATATTTAAATGAATGGAAAAAAAATGTACAAATCTATTTTGTATTATTATTATTACTATTACTATTTAAATTATTATTATTTAAATTAATCACAAAAAAAATTTATTTTAAGCATAATGGTGAATTTCCAAAAACTTATGCTGAAAAAAATGAATTCAAACAACTTATTAATAACTGTAGATTAAAACATGACGAGGAAAACTTTGATGAAGCATTAGCTAATGCTTGGAAAGCATGCACTATCACAAAAATACCTTCTCATGTCGAAAAAATTCTTGACGATCCATCATGTGAAAATTTAACATCCGAGGTATTTTAGGTCTTTTTTGGTAATTTAATAATAAAATAATTGACATTGAATCAAATTCTAAAATTTAATTTTGATCACGTTAATTTTATTGATGTTGATGATGTTGATGTTGATAATGATTAAAGTCAACAAACTTTTGGATTATTGCAAGAGCAGTCCGTGATTTTATAGATAATGAAGGTCAACACTTGCTACCATTATCTGGTAGTCTACCAGACATGAAAGCTGATACTGCTGGATATGTTGAATTACAAAACATGTAATAAATAATAATAAGAGAAATACAAATCAATTATTTTTATTTTTTATTTACATAACACAAATATAATTAATTTAATTAATATATATGCGTCTATATATAGTTATCGCAAAAAAGCTAAAGAGGATTTTGCAATAGTACGATCGAATATTAACAAGATATTATCATCTATTGGTAGATCATCTGACTCTATTTCAGATGATCAAGTTGAAAATTTTTGTAAAAATGCTGCTCACATCAAAGTAATTCGTTATAGATCTTTACAAGAGGAATATATAAATGATCCTAAAAAAAATGAAATTGGTATGATTAAGAATAAAAGAATAATAATGACAACGCATATTAATTATATATATATATTTTAGTGAAGTTTACTCGATATATTATTAAGTTTATTTATTAATGATTTTTATTTTAGAGCAATGGTTGGAAGATTCTGATAATAATATTGTTTATTATATTTTGATCAGAGCAATTAATAGATTTTATGAAATTCATAATCGTTATCCAGGTATTAGTTAATTTTCTATGCTATGTTTATCATTTAGTTTTCATTCCTTAATTAAATTTTTATTATAACATAGATGCTGAGACTTTTTTTATTGAAATTGATTCAAGTGAATATACTGAACAAGCTAGATCAGAATTTGACTCATTAAAAACAATTGTCATTGATTTATTAAGAGAATGTGATATTACAAATATTCCTGACCATTTGGATAATTATATTCATGAAATGTATATAAAATTTATTAATGGAAAAATATTAATTATTGTTGTTGTTGTTTATTTACTTGACTATTTATTTTTTATTTTTATTTCTTATAGATGTCGAGCTGGCGGATCAGAATTACCAAACATTGCCGCTTTACTTGGTGGTTTGGTATCTCAAGAAATCATTAAACTTATTACTCATCAATATATTCCTATGGAAAATACTAGCATTTTCGATGGAACTAAATCGACTGCTTCTACTTTTGTATTGTAAAATCTCTTCATTAGCATAATAAATGGTGCAACGGTTTTTGCCTTTTTTGTATTTTTGAATGATTATCATTATTTTTTTTTAAAAAAAATTCAGCTTTCTGAAAAAAGGTTAATTAGAAAATTTTTCATTTTTTATTATTCATTTTATTATTAATAATTTTTATTAAAAAAACAAGCTATCGTAAAAAAAATGATAATAAATATTTTTTAAGTATTAAAAAATTTATCAAAGAAGACCCATATAGACAGATGGAATATCATTTCACGGCTCATAATATCATTACAATTTTGAGGGAAGTCTTTATCAAATATCAATAAAGGGGCTGCATAGTTGGCTTTTTTCTATATATATCGCCTCATTAGTATATTGGTAGATAGATATAATAGACAATTCGGTCAAACCGACAATCCATTTATTAGTAATAAAATGCAAAATAACTAATGAATGAAATCAATCGAGAAGTTAACATCAAGTTTATAGAATTATAGATATCATCAGAGGGCACGCCTATATGTGACATATATATATGGTAAAGAGCATAAAAACTGCACGGAATAATGCAATTAGTACATTGCTGGGTAAAAATCCATCCATAAATATATCCAGAAGACACTTTTTCAGCTGAGAATACTGTTCCATAATAATAATAATAACAAATAGTTGTTTTCTATAATTACTATATTTAATTGATCAAAAGAACAATAAAAGGTAGTGAGCGAAGCTATTTACTTGCGTAAAATTACAGATCGTGTCACATTTCTCATGGTGTTAATTAAGCACACAGAATATTTTCAAGTATAAAAAAGAAGTCACGACATTGGTAATAAAATTAACTTTAAAAAGTGGCATATATTTAAATCATCAATTAAGAGCACCGTTATGTTATGTTTGTAACTGAATGAAAAAATCAGAAAATATGGAAATTTTAAGAGCAATAATAGGCATGGTCTTGCCACTGTTGTTCATTGAGTACGTAACAAGAGTAGATGGTGGAATTCTATCTCGAGCATCTCAGATAAAAAGAACATTACGAACGTTGGATCTTATAAAAAAGATTTCCAAATCAGGCCCTAAACTTGTTTTATCAAGAAGGGAACTCAAAAAGGGTTATTAGCAACCGGGAGGTGTGACTTGTAAGATCTTTTATTAATTGTATATTATTATTTACATGTTATTAATAATAACTATAAAACATCAAAGAGAAAAAAAAACGCAAGGCTTAACAAATTATATATTAACTTTAAATATCAAATTTACATAATAATATACTTGTATAACCACGATAAAGTTCATTTATAAATATAAAATAACCTGATTGTAAAAAATCATAAAAAATAATTTTAATAATAGTACTACCATTTTATTATTTAAAATACCAATCTACACTAATCAATGCTACTACTATTATCAACTATAACTATAACTATTATTATTATTGTGATTGTAATTTTAAAAAAACCCAGGAGTTTTTCTTGATAAGATGAATATTTCATAATCTTCAATTTGAAAGACAGAATTAGTAAGTCCTATGTTATTTTGATAATAAAAACCCGTAAAAAAATAATGACAGTCCACAGATTTTTGTTGAAGGTTATCAAATCCTGATGGACAAAGTTTCAAATCATTGAAATTTGGACCTGAATCAGGATGATAAAAAGTAGCTTTATTGTGACCAGCAACTCGGCTAAGTATAGAAACTTGTGGCGATGACCTATTCAAATTGAAAAGAAAACTATACGGTGTTTCCAAATGTGCACCTAATCTCGTTTTAAAGGCATTACCATCAACCCAATAATTTGGATTAAACCCACCGATTAGATTATCGTAGCCTTTTATCTTTATCAATAACAATGTTTTCATCACAAAGCTACACTTTGCATAAAAATCCTGTACCCTAAACCCGTCACGTGAAGCCTTAAATAGCAATTTGAAATCATAAGTGGTTTTTCTATTATAAAATATTTGTGGATGGTTGTCAACCCAGCTTGATATTAAGCTTGCAAATATTGGGTTAAAATAAACCGATCCGTACTGTCCTGTTCGATCACCAAGTGGACATATTATATTTGGGTCTGGACGATAACTAGCGACCAAATGATACTTTAACAATTCATGATATACTTCTTCTCCAATCACTCTTGCAAATGGTGCAACATAGTGATAAAAATTACTAGTGCTTATTGAACGGAACCTAATATGCGGTAGAATATCACATATCACGTCTCTTAATTTCATGAAATCTTCTTCGCCCCAATGGTAAGCATTTATCTCATTCAAGTGTTCATCCACCTGTGATATACCCCATCTGACAACATTTGTCCAAACTTCCACTTCCGCCATCACAAAACCATTTTTACTACCGAGTATATCTTTTAATGAATTGATTGTCAATTGGTTTAAATTTGTTGGATGAAAGATTATACCGGGATTTAGTGATAATATTTCGTCACAATGGATTTTCATTATTGTGAATTGATGTTGATCAGATATATTATGTATATGATGTATATTTTCTTGAATCCATTGTGAATGATTTTCTACCAAATAAGTTTGCAAGTATTCAAGTAATTCTGTTATTGCCAATTCATCACACGCTATTAACAAATCAAGGATTTCTTGTATGCTTAGATGATCAATCTCAAAAAGACCAGTATATAAATAACTATGAGGATTAAAAATTGATTAGTATAATTTCAAGTAAAAACAACAAATTTTAATTAAGATACTGAAAAAAATAGTAAAAATTTACTTTAATATTACTTCAAATAATTCTGGTGAAATGTTATCTTTTTTAAATTGGTAAACATCATTATCTTTTTTTGACCATCCATTTGAAAAGGCAGCATTGAAATAAGTAGACCTCAATTTCAGTATTACCGAGTGAGATCTGAATATTTTTGAGTTGTTTTTGGCCCCGATATCTATTTCTACATCATAGTTATTAGTCGTAGTTAACAATGTAGATAAAGATCTCGAAAGTTCCACTATGCTAGCCATTCGAAGATAATAAGTATCAGGTATTTCGTCCTTGTGCCCATAACTTTTAAATTTAGAAAGAATATGCTCAAACATCAAGTATGAGGTTTCATAAACTTTTTTAACATTATCAAATTGATAATGATTATTATTATTATTATTATTATTATTATTATATGTTGCCATTATGGAAAATACGATTGTTGTGTAGATATAACAAACGTGTGAATATATGTATATGTATGATAAATATATAAATATATAAATATATAAATAGTTGTTGTAAATATAAATATATGATTTGGCAAGTGTATCAATTGACTTTAGCAATTATCAGTTCACGTAAACGAATATATGTATTAATGTTAATATTAATGTTATCAGTTATTGAAGAAAGAGTGCTTTGTTATTTTTGGGAAAATGTATTTTTCGTGTAACGACATTTAAATTTCGATAAGAACGCGCGATAATTGTTATTATTATTATTATGTTATCATAAAAGGAAACGAATGAATTTTATGGAAAAAGTTGAGAAATTAAATGTGTTCGTTTAATTTAGTTTCTAGTTTCTTTTTGATATAAATTTAATTATGATAAATAATCAAGATTTTAAATTTTTTCTCAACTTTAACTGACCGGGATATTCCAAAGATCCAATTACTTGCACAGCTTGTCTGTACACTGACTCGTATGTTTTTAAAAAGTAGAAATATTAAGTAAAAGTTTGCTTATATTCTTATTTCATAACCATTTAAGTTTGCGGGTTGCGGCTGCGGCAAATGAAAATTGAATTGCGGCTAATTACTAAATTGCGGTTTCCATTTTTAGTTAGAACCTCTCAATTATCCACAAAAAAATAAAAAATTTAATAAATTGTTCAATGTTTAACATATTGATATCTGTATTTTTTTATACTAATATCATTAATATTAACAAGTTGTGTGACGAGCCTTTGACAATCTGAGGTAAAGGTTCCAAGACAAGACCATCAGTTTTTGGTCATTTTGAACGGTCCGAAATGTCAGAGTAAGACGAAGATCTAATGGTAGACAGCAGTCGACACCGCGCAAAAAAACACCTAAAGCGAAACACGATTTCCTTTCAGTCAAGTATCTGTTTCGCTCAATCCTGACGTTTTGAACCAAAACAAATAAGTTTTTCCGTTTATAAATCATGACTAACAAATAGCAATTGGGTTCCGCACGATACGGCGACGTAAAATAACCAAAACCATTTATCATTTTTGGAAAACAAAAATATTTCTGTATATAATATTTTCCTTTTATTAACAAATTTCAAAATCATTTCAAACCAGCGCAGCAAAAAAAAAACGACTCATCACAAAGTTTTACCCTTTGATTTTGATCTCTTCCTTCCCCAAAAATTCAGTCGAGGAACAGGACGTTTAGGATATTCATGATTCGTTACCGTAACTGAAACTGAATCTTCTTTGCAAAGAATTATTTCCAACATTTCAAAATTGGGTAAAGTCGTTAGATTAGGAAACATATAAAAAAAAAGAGATATTACACAAAATATAAAATCTACACAGAAATTACAACATTTACTAAGGCACTGTAACACGACAACCTTTTCTTCTTTTATATTCTCAAAAATCTCAAAAAAACCATTTTCTCCATTCGATGCAAGTCACTTAGTCCCACAACTTTTTATTGGTCGTGTAGATTTTCAAATTCTCCAAAAATGGAAATGCAACACCCCAAAATAAATTGTGTATTTGAAGCCAAGACCTTCCTCTACAAAATCACGATTTCATCTCATGTTGTTGTGGAGAATTTGAGCTTCAAAGTTCTGAATTTACTATGTTTAGCCCTAAAATGATGTGTTACACGCAAAAAAGTTAATATTAATAATATCAAAAATAGACAAAATAAAAATTTGAAAAATTTCCCTTATATTGCAGATCCTTTGTCACGTGAATTTTCCAGATGAATGGGAAGAGAATCATCTTTATTATTAAAAAAAATACAAAGAACAGCTAAGTTCATTTATTTTAAATCTAATAAATAGACTATTGCATTAATCAAAGAAATAT